TTTTTTATAATATATAACTGATTATGTCACTAAGTAGGATTAGCAATGAATTTTATTATTTAACTACATAATTTATGTATCGCTAATTTTTCTTCTCTTTGTAGATAACTTGTCTTAGAATACATGGTACCTAGACGACTACTTTGATACGAAATTAATGTAAAAGAACGAGATACATAATAACATCAAACTTTCAAGATTATCTTGGTTGTTGTCATGCTTAGATAGGCTATCCGTTACTTTTTTCGACTAAGTAGGCTCAATATTTATCATATTCAAGAGCTTATATTTTTAAAAATCTTATTTTCAGGGGCATATGTTTTTTTTTATAATTTTGTACGCATCAATAAAAGGTACACGCATCGCGCGTATCCTGGCACGAAGCCTCTTAGCGGAATGTCAGACCCCTTTTTTTACCCTTTAAAAATAGATGTTATATTGATTATAATTATAATTTAATTATTCTACTAATATTTAATACTTTAAAATCAACTAAATGTTGGTCAGAAACTCCTAAATTTTAGGAATTTAAAACCAAATAAAAATTTACTTATAAATCCTTTCCTTAAATAAATTGTGTAAAGTAATTATAANAATAAATTGTGTAAAATAATTATAACTTTTTCTTATGATTAATTATTAGAAAAAATGTATATAAATGTGTTATAAATCTACTAATAAAATTTTAGATCTAATTTTAAGTCTTCAAAAATTAAAGATTATTAATAATATGTAAACCAAACTTACAACATATTAGGTCGAGTATGAAAATATATATAAATAAGTTTAATATGATATGCTTACGTTTTGAAAATAATAGTAGTATTTTAATTTAAAGTAATAAGTACTTTAATGTACTTTGAGTTAATTATTATTTGACTAAGTTGAATACATATTGAAAATTTATACACATATTAAATTACAAATCCAATTACAATACTCGAAAAGTAAAACATAGATAAGATAAATTTATATATTGAAATTAATGAAAATAAATTAGAAACATTTAGTCATAAGTAATTTAAGGTAGTAGTTAAAACAGAAAAAATAAAACATAGACATCTTTTTTTTTGGTCAAAAAAACATAGACATTGAAATGTATAAATTGATATTCCTTATTGAAATAGCTATACAAAATCAATATCTTTTGTTAAAATAAATTTACACATTTATTTTAATTCAAAAAAATATATTTATATAAATTTTTAAAAGTTTTATACTCATTTAGATAGGTTACACGCGCAACGCGCGTACCATAAGACTAGTATTAAATTAAAAGTTTAATGAACGATAAAATTGCTCAATTTCAGTTAGTACACAATAAATTTGACCATTTTCCCTTTTTAAAATTTATTTGAGTTCAAAAAATTGAGACTGAAAATATCTTGAACTATCAACATGAAAGTATCTTTACGGCGATTTATTTAGTTGTGGGAGGAGTATAAAACTAAACTACTGTTTTCAAGCGGACTAATTAAATAGTGAAAAGTATACTACGAATATGACGCTTTCTCCTCACAATATTTTCGTACTTCAGAAAAATAAGATACAATATAATAATTATATTCGTATTGATCCTCAGAGATCAAACAAATAATTATAATTATAATTATAGTCCGTTAAATTGAAATGAAAGTGATGAAATTTTAGAACTGGCGAGAGTTTTATCTTTTTTCTAACCACAAGGTGTTCACTAACTTCCTAACCAGTTTTTTAAAGTTAATTGGCTTTACTTTTTGTCAAAGTAGGTACGCATGTAGTTTCAATGAAGAATATCAAAAAAACCAGAAACCAGTGCTAGCTCCTTCACTGTTGTTGGGATTGTCGAAAATAGAATAGATTTCACTCCAAGTCATGATACCATGTTGTCACACCTTCTTTTGGCGCGCCTACCCCAAAGGATAAATGCGCGAGGGGAGTTTTTCCAATTTAAGTGACAATATTCGAAATAGAATTATTTATTTAATT